CTAGAAACCAACCACTCTGCAGTGCAGTACTACTACTGAATTAATGAGTATTTGTATACTGTACTATTTTATACTAGATTCATTTTATTGTATTCTAATTCTTTGAAAACTGGTATTTCATTGATAAAATATAACTTTCAAGTTAACTTTAATATTAAGTTAACCAACACCCTCCCCCCCATTCCTCAATGTGTCAGATAACAGCTTTTACTATAGTCTCATGACCTGTCACAGGGCGGGTTTTATTTGAGAAAAGCATGCTGATTCTTTTTGTGTCAGTGGGCTGCGAGAGGCTATGCCTACATCTACACTATCGCAGAAGATCGACTTAAAGTATGCAACCCGAGCTACATGAATAACATAGCTGGAGTCAACATACCGTAAGTTGAGTTACCGTGGGGTCTACACTGCAGGGAGTCAACAGGAGAAACTCTCCTATTGATTTCCCTTATTCTTCTTGCCTAGGATAAAGTAGGAGAATCCATCGGGCAGCGAACAGTGGTTGATTTAGCAGGTCTTCACTAGGCCCACTAAATGAACTGCTGGTGGATCAATCTCAGATATTCAATCCTCACAGTAGTTAAGATGTAGCTATTTATGTGAAATCTGATATTTATGTGGAGGCCCTATTAACTACTTTGCTTCACTGTGATATCCCAAGTTAATCAGTTTGAAGCTGTGAATGTTTATAAGCCTGCTGATGTAGCCTGAAATGCCCCATCTTGACAAACCCTTCAACATCCATTAGGAGCTTCACTCATCACACCTCCTAGGACTATGAGGGTATGTCTACACTACCCTCCTAATTCGAACTAGGAGGGTAATGTAGGCATACCGCACTTGCAAATGAAGCCCGGGATTTGAATTTCCCGGGCTTCATTTGCATGAAGCTGGCCGACGCCATTTTTAAATGCCGGCAGTTCGAACCCCGAACTCATGGAGTGAGGAGTACAGCTAGTTCGGATTAGGAAGCCTAATCCGAACCAGCTACTCCGTGCCGCGTATAGCCGCGCGGCACAGGGTTCGAACTGCCGGCATTTAAAAATGGCGTCGGCCAGCTTCATGCAAATGAAGCCCGGGAAATTCAAATCCCGGGCTTCATTTGCAAGTGCGGTATGCCTACATTACCCTCCTAGTTCGAATTAGGAGGGTAGTGTAGACATACCCTGAGAGAATTACCAGAATAGACTGGATCTCACAGACTGGGCTTCTATGCATGATTCATATCTGTTGTATTACCTTAAGCAGACAGCTACTTTTTCTCTGAATGATGAAACACTTCCATTCTCCTGATATCAAATGGAACATTGCAGCAGGGCATCAACAGTTATCAGCCTCCTGTGCAGTTCTTTGAAACTTCCCAAAAAAACAGTACCTGTCCCCTTTCCTCATTCTTAATTTGGTAGGAGTGACAATGTTCGTAATAATCACTATCCCTAGATTATGGTGGAATTATAGATGGAAACACTAGAAAAAAATTGCAGTTATTCAAATGAGTACATAGTGTGCATACCACATAATACTTCTGAAGAAAATGTTTATATTTTCTACTTTACTAGTAACTAAATATATCCCATGTTGCTAATGAAAGACTACAAACCCTGCTTAGATGGGCAATATACTGAACTTTTGAAGTAGTGTGAAGAATCTGGAATTTAGAAACAACAAATCACCAACAACTTCAATGTCTGTTGCAGGGAATGTTGGGAATAAGTTACATTAAATACAGATGTGACAAGGTCCAGCAGGGAAGCACAGTAATTTGGAAGGAAGCTTGGAGAAGCACAGAAACCACCACCAGAGTAAAGTTCCCCAAGCAGCTTTGCTGCAGACTTAACTAATATGATAAAAGCCAACAGAGACAAGTCATTCGAGGAATCAGCAGATAAGTGAATGGTGCCCATAAAGACAGAACCCACTTCCATGTGAATAAGATATCTTTCAGCCTTTCTCCACTGAAGAAGTGGAGAGAGCAATTCTGAAAGCAAGAAAAAAAAACATGATCTTGACAAAATTATACCAGAAATGCTGTTCCATGTTGGTAAGAAGAGCATAAAGTACTTGTCAACAGCTATACCAAAATCAGGGAAGCACCAATCTGTTCCAGTTAGTTACCACAGGATAATCACTTCTGAGCTGTACACATGTTTGGAGCAACTAATTCTGCAGAAAATCATGCTCACAATAGAACAGGATCTGAGTGACGACCAGGGCAAGGTTCCAGACCTAACAGATGCACTTGTGACCAAGTTCTTGCTCTTACCACCTGTACATGAAATGTTTTTAATAGAAGGTAAAAAAGACAGCATCCGTGTTTCTTAACTACTGTCTGGCACATTGGCTCGTTGATCAAAATGTCAAAGATGGTATCTCGATGGGATGTTATGGCTATGGAAATGATCTTTTGAAACAGACAATTCTATGTGATTCCAGAAAAACATATTACCCCAGGGATATGTTTTGGGACTAACCTTTTTCTATAGCATAGAATCATAGGACTGAAAGGGACTTTTAGAGGTCATCTACTCCAGTCCCCTCCACTCAGGACCTATGACCCTTGACAGGTGTTTGCCTAACTTGCTCTTAAAAATCTCCAATGATGAGATTCCACAACCTCCCTACCTAATTTATTCCAGTTGTTAACCACTCTGGTTGTTACAAGGAGGAAAGAGTAATATTTCCCTTTGTTTTGTCTTATCAATTTAAATAAACTCTTTCAAGCAAGAACACTCTCATTATTTATGTGTATTAAGCCTAGCACAATGAAAGCATAATTTTGGATGTTGTCTCTATCAACTACTGGAATACAATCAATCTATTCATTCTGCAATAGCCTCTCTCCACACTTTGCAATCCTTTACCGTGTACTGCAGGAACATAAGAACAGCCATACTGGGTCAGACCAAAGGTCCATCTAGACCAGGGGTGTCCAAACTTTTTTCAACGAGGGCCAGATTTGATGAAGTGAACATGCGTGAGGGCCGACCATTTTGCCTGACATTCTTTGAACCATTAAAATTAAATGCAAATTAACTATTTTATGCAAAGTTTATTGCAAACGGCATACTTTTAATTTCGTCACATGGATGACAAATCTAAACAGGTGTTAAATCACTCTGCCTTTCATATCTGAAGGCCAGATGAAAAAAAAAATCCAGGAAGCTGAAATATATGTCAGGAACATTGTAAAGTACATTACATATTATTGGTAATAAAGGTTGTCTGTCAACTTTTAAGTTCAAAAAATATGAACAGGAACATAACACCAAGTATACATGTTGTGTCCAAATATATTTATAACTGATTTAGACCAACTGACTTTAACTGAGATTTTACAATGTATTCATCTCAATACATATGGATTCGTTGGGGGCCATAAAAGATAGATATTGCCAAATTACCCGGGGGGCCGTATTAAACCGGAACACGGGCCGGAATTGGCCCGCGGGCTGGACTTTGGACATGCCTGATCTAGACCAGTATCCTGTCTGTCGACAGTGGCCAATACCAGATGCCCTAGACAGAGTGAACACAGCAGGTAATCATCATGTGATCCCTCTACTGTCATCCATTTACAGACAAATAGAGGCTAGGGACACCATTTTTACCCATCCTGGCTAACAGCCATTGATGGACCTAACCTCCATGAATTTATTTAGCTCTTTTTTGAACCCTGTTAAACTCTTAGTCTTCACAACACCCTCTAGCAAGGAGATCCACAGGTTGATTGTGTGCTGAGTGAAGAAAAACTTCCTTTTGTTTGTTTTAAACCTGCTGTCTATTAATTTCATTTGGTGACTTCCTAGATCTTATATTATGGGAACTGTAGGGGTAACATATTAATGTATTAAAAATGTGATTCCCCCAAATGGAAGTGACTCCCCATAATTTGTTCCCCACAACTTAAAGTATTTAGATTTATTATTAATTCTTCTTACTTATTATTATTTGTTAAGATTGTTAAATGTTTAGATTTATTATTATTATTGCCCCCTTTAGAA